AGGATTTTCAACAGCAAATAAATATTGTCAAAAACATTTGGGGAAAACAAAACATATTGTACAGGTGATTGTACCAATATCCTAATAAATCTTTGTATGCTAGTGATACAAATTTTAGCTTCATGGTGTTAGGTGACAATGTCTCGAGCATATTTGTACATGATAAGCAATGGTTCAAGGGAGAGACAAATTCATACCCCAAAAACTGAGAATGTGGTGACACCATCTCCCATTGTTCTTTGGCAATCCGTTTTAAGCAACGTAAAGTCCTCCCCTTTCTTGGTCTGGCTGGCTAGTCCATGTACAATCTCAGGTTTCTCTCTTTCCATTTGTCGATTCTCGTTCCAGTAGAACAGACAACGTCACGGGTTGATGTTGGCCTTTCGAGGACATTGTTCCAAATTGGCCTTTCGAGGACATAGTTCCAAATCCAAAACACCACAACAGTACCTAAAATGCCTCTATTTCTCCATGAATCACGCCAAAATTCCTGAAATAAACACACTGCAATCAAATCTCATCGCAAGATAACTGAAAAATAAACGATTCGATCAACGACCACCGGACATCTATATGGAGAGATTAGACACTAATGTGATAGCGGGAAAAAACGTCGAGATCTTTGAAAAAAAGAAATAGAGAATCTAATTTATACAACAATTGAACGATCAGATTTCACAACAAAACCAAATAAGACTGAATAATTAATGAAAATGAATCAGAGTGGATGCATACAATGACACATTATAGACATTCCTAAAATCTGGTAATCATGAGAGAAAAAAGAAAGAACAAATCTCGATGCGTAAAGTGAAATGGAATTGAGAAGAACGAATATACATATATAAATTGAAAATAAGAGAGAATGAGAAAATTACAGTGCATAGAAAGAGAAGGGAGAAAATAAGAGAAACCGGATGAGCAAACAGCTGAAGAAGGAGATTCGGCGCCAAGAGAATGAGAGGGAAGACGGCACCTCAGATGAATTGGATTAGTCGCTGCGATCGATAAACTCGGATTTGTTGATTGTAAAAACTCTATTTTTAAGACTTTTCTGTTTTCCGATTGCTTCTTTTTTTATATATATATGACGTGGTAACAAAAACGGCGCAATTCTTAAGTCGGCTGCATTAAATAATAATAATAATTAATTCGAATATTTATAGAAGTATTTTTTTAGATACTAAACCGTTCCAGCCCAAATGTTTTGGGAGATCAGATTAAAATTATGATATTTATATTAATTTTTTTGGTAAATTCTAAATTTAATTCTAATTTTTTTTTAGAGAGAATAAGACTTTGGGAAATTGGGAAAGAAAGGAGAGTGCACCTCAATATTTATATTAATCTAAGATATATTTAAACAAATATATCATAAATAAAATTAAAACAATTTTATAATTAATTAAGTATATCATAAATATATAAAATTGATAAGTTAATGTCATGTTTGTTAAGGGATATGTGATAATATGAATAAACAAATAAAAAAAATAGAAATAAATGAATCAATCATGTTAAAGAAAAGAAGAGCAATGATTTAAGGTTTAAAGAAGTAGATAATAAATTTAAATATACGACAAGACTTTGATTTATTTTATTATTATGTCTCTAATATTTATTAGTGTTGGAGTTTTATGTTACGACTACTACTTGTAATAATAAATATAGAGGTTCAAGAAGTTTCTCAACACACTTCATATCAAGAAAACAATATAAATTTTCATTTTACTCAAACATCTTGTTCTTGTTTCCTTTATATTTTCTTTATTTTACAACACATTATCACCAAAACTTTATTCATAATTTTGATTAAAGATCAATTTTTGTCAATATCTAGTTTAAGTTTCAACATCATCACTTTGTAGTCCATGTCAAATCCCACTTTTAGGGTTAAGAATTTTAATGTTTTAATTGTGTAAAAAAAAGGGTAATTTAGAAATTGAGGGGTTTATTTGTTATTATTGAAATTTTGGGACCTAACTGAATTAAAATTTAGTGAATTTGTGACTGGATTGATTGAATTATGAAGTTGATGGCCGGAATGGGAATTAAAGTGATTGAAATGAGTGGGTAGAAAACTGAAGAAAAAAATCATAAAATATAGAAAATCTAGAGTCACGCCTGATAATTAATCCAAATATTTGTTGGTATAAATACCAACTTTTCTCCCCTAAAATATTTTTTTCTTCCATTTTTGTTGCCATAGCCGCCGACGTCCTCTAGAGAGTTTCTCCCGCCTCTATTCTGACCGTTGTGAATCCGTCTTTTCACTCGGTTTTGGGTGTGAAGTGATCCTATAGCTCCACCCTTTTTGGTGCCAAAAAGGAGGGGGGAAGTTCGTCTCTACCTCCATTCTCACCAAAATTTGAGAATTTTATCTCGTCGCCATCGTCTAGCTTGGTGAATATCGTCGTTCTCTTTTCTCGTTGTTTTTATTCTTCTTTTTATTTTTTTTGCTTTGGTTTGCTCTCTACGACGGGGTCACCAAAACAGATCCTCTGTCGTATTCTCGTTGTTTTGGGTGTGAAGCTTTTAAAGCTGAATGTGCTTCATCGGCTGCTTGAAAGCTTGATGAAGCTTTTCATTCTTGGAATGCTTCTCCAAATGCCACTTGAGAAAGCCTCTGCTGCCAATATAGCTGAACAGATGATACTGAACTTCCGTATCCATTCAAATCTGGGGTGCTGTTAAATTCTAGCTAAGTTTCCTCTAGGCATGCTCATGCCCCTGTTTTCACCATGACTCGGTTACTTTTGCATGCAATATTGACCAGAAAAGTCTGCTTCCATCAAGTGATGCTGAGAGAAAGAATTATATAAACTATTTATTGTGCCCAGATAATTCGAAACTCGAAACTCCGTTCCGACGGTTATTAGGTTGCTGTCTTTTTGCCACGACATCCTCTTTGAAAGGGAATTATTAGTTTCTCCTGTCCAAGGCGGAGTAATGCAAAAGCCGTGACCACTTACGATAACTTGGTAAGAACTACTGAAGAAGGTCATACACAAACAACTCGATCACGAAGCTTAACTTTATTGCATGATATTAGAGTAATTATGTTTGGAAAGATGCAACAAATATTGAATATTGGGTTCTAGGTGCGCCCAAAGGTTGCGGAAATGATTTCTCTTGTTTGCCTTTTGTTTTTAAAATAATCATTTATGTATGTGATGTTTGCTTCTGGATTAGGTTGAACTGGACACAGCTAGTTATTATGGGTTGCTTTTGCATCTGTCAGGTTTTGCCTTTTCCATTAATTGAACTTTCAGGTTAGAAATCATTCCCCCTACTCTTTCTGCGATGTAGGGCATGACATGAAAAATCTATATTACATTAATTATTTACTTATCAAAAGTTTGTATTGATTTAAACAGCACAAGAAAATGCATCATGAACATGAAATGCTATTGCGGTTGCCTTGCTCCAGACCAGTTTCTATAATTTCTATCTTATTAAAGATTTCATTGTTGATCTTGCCCCAAATTTATGTGTTTTCCTTGTTCCAGTTCTATTTTATTTGATATCGTGAAATAAAAAAGTTCGAATTTACTCTTCTTTTAATGTTAAAAGTTCTCAAAAAAATATTGATGATATATAATTTTATAATTAAATTTAAAATTTACGAGTGTAACTTTCGAAAAATAATTAATTAAGTTTATACTATTTTTTAATTAATTGTTCTTTATACTTTATAATTTCATAAATTCATTCTTTTATTTATAAAATTTTAGTACTTTTCTTAGATTTAAAGTTAAAAATTATTTAATAATTAATATAAAAAATGTAAGTTGTTTTGAATTACAAAATGAAAGATGATAATTTAGATGTCTGAATCTTAATTTTTTTAAATAATATGAGGGATTATAAGTTAATATATGTTTAAAAAAATTATTCATTGACAACACACATTTTATTTTAAATTCTTATTAGAATGAATTTTAAAACAAGTCAAGTAAGGAATTTATTAAGGGGCCTCATTAATTAAAGTGAATGTTGTTTTTCCTAAAAGTTTTGGGTTTAAACAGTTATATTTTCAGGGTGTGTGTTTTGTTAGTTAATTAAAAAAATTTTGAATTGATACTATCTTGTAATCATCTCACTTGTTTAAAAAAATTAAATTAAAGACGGTAACCACTGATTACAATTGTTTTATTGTTGTGTATCATCATGCTTGGCTATAATACCCTATTTTAAATGAACAAGTGCTTGACGCCTCTCCGTCATCACACATGGTATGTAGGCTAGTTCTTTCCCAAGAGCTGCCATTAATAAATTCATGAAGTTGCTGTAAATATTTGGTTGTCTCGTGACAAATTTAAATCAACCTGGTTCTAAACATTTCACCACCACCACCCACAAAATATAATGCTTTGAAATGAGCTGTTCCCCCCTGGTAAAGTTAATGCTGGTTGGCCATTATCATGAGCCTCATGCCCCAACTTCACCGGCTGAGATTGCTATTTATTGCCATTCAAAGATCGAAGCATATATATAATACTGTCGTTGATCTGGTTGGTCATCAGATACCGCTCTTCGCTCGCAATCAAATCATTTACCAAGTTTTATTCAGGTATGTCCCTTTTGTATTTCATAATTTGACAGAACAGTTCAAATAAAGAAACGGAACCTTCTATATCTGTTGTATCTCTTCCGAAAATCATATGTTCGTTGTTATTTTTCCTCTTATGTGTTTAAGCTTTCGGAGCTACATATTCTTCGAAATTCCTCGAAATTTTCAGATTTCCATATCCTATGTTAATTACAACTCTTAACGTGATCATTGATAAGTCCATGACATTCTACTATCTGACAATTAGATTTACTTAACCTAACAATCTGTAAATAGACTATCCCTTTAAGCCTCTCATTCTCTCTCAGACTAAAGTTCAACCTTTTACTGTTGATCATCTCTTTTAGTCCGTTGAAGGTCGCCATAACACTGTTTTTCTCATCAACAATATCATATTTGTCTAGTGCTTGAAGTTGTTTGGTACCATGTCTCAGTTTGACAGTTACATACAGCTGTTTTCTCCAACATGGGCGTCTTTTATCAGGAAGAGCAGCCCCGTCAATCCAAGAGATGCAAGTTCCTGGCAACGGTTCTGAGGGAAGCATTTTCGAATTGCCATGGACGACGCTCAGATTCTGGTCTCGAGGAGGAATATTCAACAAGTGCCATTGATGATGAATCCCAAGTACTAAACTATTAACTAGCAGTAGCAGCAAGAAGATGATTTCTTTTGTGTTTTCTAGTCTACAGTGCTATCTGCACCTTCACTGTTTGACATTCTTTACAGGTAGTTGTTTCTGAAATTCGAAGTCGAGCAATGGAGAAGATGAAGCGCAGGCCGAGTCAAATTTCGGAAAGCCTTTCGTGGGTGCTATCTCCATCAACAAACGAGCTTTATATAACCTCAAAGCAAGGCAAACGAGGAGACGAAGATGATAAAGAAGATGAATTCTTTTCTATTGGAAGTTGCTTTTCCTTGAATTCAAGTGCTGCAAGCAAGGAAGCATTTGTATCGGCTAAGAGGGATTTTTCCCGGTGTTCAAGCTTGAACAAGATTGATTTCCCAGAGATATGGAAGTTAGATTTGCAGGATTTTGGAAGGCGGTCAATCATTCATGAATTGTGTCATTGTGAAGGGTGGCCATTTGGGTTGTGTAAGAAAACTGTGTTACTCCCACCTCTGCCTAAATCTCCTGCTGAGTCTTGGTCTTGGCGTAAAGGCAGTGGATTGAGATTAGCTAAGACGCCTTTGATTTAACATTTTCGGTCGTTAGGAGATTATTGTTGTATCTTGATATCTTGAGTTCGAATATAATATATACGAAATATGAACATTTATCGTTAAATAATTAAAAATATTTAAATAGATATTACTTTATATTCCTCTCAGAATTATAAAAAAGAACACTTTGATTTACTGTTTGTGAACAAAGATGATATTTTTATTTAGCTGCCAAGCTACTTCTACCTCAAAGGTTATCCATATCCGAAACAGAATGAAATTCATAGTGACATTCAACTCTCAACACTATATTTCTAAGCACTTTGCTCTGCTTAAGATCCAGATTAGGGATGTTAATCAGACAAGACAGGCGATTGTAGAAGCTTCTTTTGTGCCCATCCCAAATTTTTTCTTTATCTTTGTTTCGTGATTCGTTATAATTACAAAATTCAAAACCATCCACGTTCGATAATATTAGGATCATCCTTATCCTACCACTTATATAGATCCCGAGATTCACTTTATACCCCTATCACAATCCATGTTAAATAATATTGGCTAAAGTCGTTACATAATATTCAAATATAAACAATGGTATAAGATAAATCTATTTTTTTCTCAAATCTTGTCTTATTATTCGTAAAACCTAAATCCATCCTTATCCAATTGGAGATGAGATTTTGCGAAATCATGACATCTCTAATCCAAACGTAAACTAATAGAAACAATGACTTTTTAGCATGTTTGAATTATAAAATATGTTACTTTTTCTTTTAAATCATTTAAAGTACGAAAATTTATTTTATGAATCCTTTTCGCTATGTAATTTATGTCACTACGAGTAAAAGTAACATACATCACTTGTAACACCTCCAACCCGTATCTGACCCGGATATGAGTCCGAGGTGTCACATGACTTTTCTTTGACTCTTGACCAAAATTCAAAGAAAATTTAAAACTTTCATTAAAATAATAACGGTTTATTGACATAAATTGACCCCAATGACCAAAATCGATCAGAGCATCTCTAACTCAATCAACTAGTACATGCAAAATATATTCAAATTAACCAACCTTATTTAAATCATCTATTTTCTGATCTGAAACTTTGTAAGGAAAATGCTTACATGTCTTGCTCCTCTTAGCTCTTTACTCTTCTCACTTCTGTAACCTACGTGTGAAACAATCACACGCTAAGTCGTTGACTTAGTGAGGCATAAAACATATAATAAAACTCTAACTAATCACACATGCATGAACATACAATCTTATAATACCATATCAAAACGATATAACATTATATATATATATATATATATATAACATATACATATACATATCACACATTATTTTGAATCTCTACCCTTTGTTCACTATCAATATTCTTAACATTTATATCTTATAATTATATCTTCTTATATCCATTCTTTTACTCAACATATCATTCAATTAACCAAGCCATACTGACATCATCATATAAATCATATCAGATTATCTAATAAGCAATACATGCATACATATAAATCATCATTAGTCACTATCATTTAATCACATAACATATATACTTAATCTATACATCCTCATGTCCTTGCTATTAAATTTATCATATCACAACATATATTTGTTATTTTCTCTTGATTAGCCCATGTACATACGTGAGAACTAATGATATGTGAGTCTACTGAGGTTGTGCACCACTATGTTGTCACCACAGCTCATATAAATGTCCCGAAGGACCTATCCAGAGGTCACAAAGACCCCGGTAACTATCCAGAGGTCATAAAGATCCTTGGTAACTATCTAGAGGTCATAAAGATCCTCAGTAACTGTCCATAAGGACCACATATCATTCCTTAATAATCATATACATATGCCAAAGATCAAGTATGTGTCTCCAAAAGACCTCACACATGTTCCAAAGAATACATATATGTCCCAAAGGACCACATAGACCCTCGACTCTTGGCATGCCAACTATACCTCTAGCTCTCAAGACACATAACATGGGCATTAATATTTATGTTTGTCCCATATTCACACATTCGTATCAAATAGACATATATAATCTCATAGCTTAATGTCACATAGATCGTATAATATCCTCGTAGAGTCTCATATCTCATTATCATATATATTTGTATTCACATAGACCAAAAAGTCATATAGATCACTTTCACATAGCTTATATTATACTTTCATGTACTCACACATTTCTTGTCACATGTCTTATATTTTATGATCATATAACCATATAACTTATTATCACATATCTTATAAGCACATACCTTATTTCAATTCTCCCTTTAATTACATAAGTCACTTATATTAATTCACATTGTTTATCACATACACATGCATTCACATAGATCATGTATAAAGATGCACTTAACATCTAGACATAGGCATATACTCATGTACACATAAACATCATAACAAATACATACTTCTATGAATTCATGTTTTTCACTATTGGAAATAGACTTATCACAAGTCTTATTTTCCCTTGAACCTCATATACTAGAGAATGTGCACTCACCTTAGCTTTGCTTTGATTTGATTATAATCCTTCAATTGATCCGGGATGGGATCACGTTCTATATCTACATCATCATACATAGATCTATATTAGTATTATAACTAATATACTCTAATGGTTCACTCTTTAGACTAAGATAAAAGGCAATTTCATCTTTTAATGAAGGTATGCAACGATGCACTACTGATGCATCGGTGCATAAAATGTATTCGATGTTAGTTTATTACTGGGATGCATCGATGCATGCCTTATGCATCGATGCACTAATTGCATTCGATGTTTCCTTATTAATGGGATGCATCGATGCACTACTTATGCATCGATGCACGAATTGCATTCGATGTATTTATTTTAAAAGAGTGCATCGATGCACTACCAATGCATAGATACACCTTCAAACAATTTCTGGGTTTTAACATTGATGAATCGGTGCACTATGAATATGCATCGATGCACTCTGCCCAGAACCTCTTTTTGAACTTGAAAATTCAATCTTTTTGGATTAAATCCTTCATATTTCAACCCCTTTCATATTCCTAACTTTCATATACATAATTAAACTCATTAATATTCATTTATCTGATCTTTAACCTTAATATCCTCTCCTCTTTAGGAATTTCAAGAATCATACCCTATTTTCCACATGTTTCAAATCCAATTCTAACACTTAATACTTCTTAATTAAGCTGATGACAAGTCAAATTTAGCTTCAAATTCAATTTATCAACTCCATTCTGGAAATTCACTCAAGAACTCCAAATCTTAAATCTTCCCTAACTCATTTATCTTTTGATTTTAAGATAACTTAAGCTTAAGTATCACCTAAGAATCATAACCCAACTTTTAATTCAACAAATAACCAACTAATTAAGAAACTCACCTTTGAGCTGGAGCTTCACGCACAAAGAAGAAAGGAGGAGAAGAGAATTCTGGAAACATTGTTTCCCTCATTTCCCACGTTTAAAATATATATATCCCCACTATCACATTTATTTAATTCCTTAAATGATCAAATGACCATTTTACCCTTTATTTCCTTTAATAATTACTAAATAACCTTCATCATATATATCCAATATCATTGAACTATTTCATTCTTCTACTTTAGTCATCAAATTCTGAAACTTTACAATTTGGTCACTAACCCATAATTTGGGATGTTACAAATCTCCCCTCCTTTTAAAAATTAGTCCTCGAATTTTCACAGCACATCCTGTGAAGAACATATCTTCTAACGTTCTCATGCTGCTTTCTGAACTTAATCTTTTGTATCATCTTTAATAACTTGGTTCTTATCTTCAATTGTCTTTCAAGAATCACCAAACTTTTATTTCATCCTTACTTGACTGCCTCCAAAACTTCCTTAATACATATAAATCTTTATTAATTTCTCTGACTACATCCACTTGACCAAGAAACATAACCTTAAATCTTCATCATAACTGATTAAACATACACTTTGCATAACTAAACAATTTCTCATATTACCTGACATACCTTTCTTACTTCTGGTTAAACTTATAATCTATATCTCAACATAACTTTTATCACATCTGATTCTTTAAACTTCATCCTTTCATTTCCTTCATAAATCAAAATCTTCTTATACACCAATCATATCTTTCTTTCATGTTCACATACTCTTTTCCTATCACTTAAACTTATCTCTGATTATCAGTCTTTATTATATCTTTATAACTTAACTAATCAACTAATCAAATAAACATTCAATCTCATACACCATGTCACTTCCATTATTCAAGCTTAACATTCTAACTTCCTTTATTTATAAACTAATCATTGATGTACCCATACTTAAACTCTTCTTATCAATCCTTAGTTTTACTCAAACATTTGAATTCTCACTTCCTTCACTTTATCACTTTACTATAATCACAGTATACAACTGTATCCAGATTCACTTCATATTTGGTTATCATAACCTACCATATCTTGAAATTTTGTAATTTCAATACATTCCATCCCATAATCTTGTTAGCCCACGCTAACTCTTTCCATCTTAAATACAAAAACAGTATCTACCTCACTTGATACATTTAAAATACTTCTTATCCTTCACATTATTTAATTTCTAGCAAAACACTTAATACATTCCTTGGTCTTTATCCATTTATCCTTTTTATAATCTGCATTGTCTTATAACTAAACCATATCATGTTCTTCATACTCTCATGCTCTTTTATATCACATATACTTATCCTTAACTATCACTCCTTATCACATTTTCATTACTTTGATAGTCAAATTTACTTGTACAAAACCTTATTCTTTACCATTCTTATACTTATGTTTTCTCCACTTGTTTAAAAAAAATCACCAGATTTCAATACTCATCTAATCCATTTAAAATACTTTTTCTGCTTCGATTTACATAACTTCTAAAATAGCTTTTAACTCAATTCACAATGGTTGTCTTTAACCCTGACTTATCCTCAATTAACTCTTTGTTTAATCTTTCAAGATCAAACCTACTGTTGGA